TCCAGTGCACACTTCAACTCCTCTACCTGCGAGGCCAGCCCATCCAGTTAAGACAGCCTGCCAGCCACAGGTCCAAATGAACATTTTTCTACTAACCATGCTTAAAAAAGTTAAAATAAATTGGTAAAATTAATGATAAAAATGTTCTTTAATGGCCAACAAGCACATGAAAAGATGCACAATGTAACTAATTATTAGGGAAACACAAATCGAAACTACAATGAGCGATCCCCTCATACCCACTAGGTGGGCTACTACCAGAAACCAGAAACTATTGGTGATCATGTAGAGAAACTGGAAACCTTATGCACTATTGGTGGGAGTGTCAAATGATGTAGCCACTATGGAAAACAGAATGGAGGTTCCTCAAAAATGTAAAAATAGAACTACTGTATGATCCTGCAATTCCACTTCTGGGCTTAAATTTCCAAAACTGAAAGCAGATGTCAAAGAATTATCTGCACACCCATATTCACAGCAATATTCACAGCAGCCAAGAAACGGAAGCAACCCAAGTGTCCACTGAGGGATGAATGGGCATACAAAACGTATATGTGAATAATCAAGTACTCTTCAGCCTTAAAAAGAAAGGAAATTCTGACATGCACTACAACATGGATGAACCTTGAGGACACTATGCGAAAAAAGTAAGCCAGTCACAAAAAGATGGTGTGATTCCATTTACATGTGGTACCTAGGATAATGAGAATCCTAAGACAGATAAAACGCAGGTTGCCAGGAGCTGGGAGGAGAAATGGGGAGTTACTGTTTCATGGGTACAGAGTTTCAGTTTTGCAAGACAAAAAAGTTCTGGGTGAACAATGTAGACATACTTAATACTACTGTGTAATACTACAGTTGAAATTGTTTAAGATGGTAAATTTTATGTCTTTTACCACAATAAAAACAGTATTTTCCTTAACTCAGTATATTCAAAGCATGTAATTAATGTGAAAATGACTAAGATATTTTATGTTCTTTTCGATGTGCTCTCTTCAAATGTCAGTGTTGATTTGACTACCAACGGCACATCTCAACTTGGACTAGCCCCATTTGAGGTACTCAGTATCCACATGTGGCTTCCCTACTGGGCCTGTGCTGAGCTAGACCTGACCTGTCACCTCTGCGTGACAAACCATACAAGCTAGACCCCAATAAGTAAGAATATTTGGGGGAGGATGCTGGGTGTTTTTCTTGCTACCAGATCTTTTTTTTTTTTTTAAGATCTCTTTTCCACCTGTAAATATTTTTTTTTGGTATCATTAATCTACAATTACAGAAAGAACATTATGTTTACTAGGTTCCCCCCTTCATCAAGTCCCCCCTCCACATACCCCTTCACAGTCATTGTCCATCTGCGTATAAGATGCTGTAAAATCACTACTTGTCTTCTCTGTGTTACGCAGCCCTCCCCATGCCCCCCACGCACTATACATGCTACCAGATCTTTTTTTGAAATCTTTTTTGTTCTAGCTCTTTCCACGGAAAGGCTAGTGGACAAAGCTCAAATGAATAAGCGTTCCTCATTGTCAGGCCCTCCTCATTAGGATTTGCAGGACATCATGCCTCCCCTCAGAGAGCTCACAATCTAGAAGAGGGGTCAGACAATTACCAGCTAGAAAAGGAACATGCACAAGACACTGGGGTGTGCAAAGAACCATACAACTCCCACCCATGCACTCTGATGTGCCAGGAAACAAGTACAAAGTGTATATCACTTATTAACATGAGAGTTAATAACTGGCATTCACCCATATCCTGACCTTTCTCAAGTGTTACGCAGCCCTCCCCATGCCCCCCACGCACTATACATGCTACCAGATCTTTTTTTGAAATCTTTTTTGTTCTAGCTCTTTCCACGGAAAGGCTAGTGGACAAAGCTCAAATGAATAAGCGTTCCTCATTGTCAGGCCCTCCTCATTAGGATTTGCAGGACATCATGCCTCCCCTCAGAGAGCTCACAATCTAAAAGAGGGGTCAGACAATTACCAGCTAGAAAAGGAACATGCACAAGACACTGGGGTGTGCAAAGAACCATACAACTCCCACCCATGCACTCTGATGTGCCAGGAAACAAGTACAAAGTGTATATCACTTATTAACATGAGAGTTAATAACTGGCATTCACCCATATCCTGACCTTTCTCAACTCATATTTCCAGTGCATCAGTTATTCACTGAGAGATCATTTGTCAAGTTAAACCTCCCAGGGTGTAAGGAGACTAAAATTTGGTAAAAGTGAAAAAACTATCTCTCATAGATAAATAAGATATTCTTTGAATGTAGCTCCAGGAAATTCAGGGACATGGAGGAAAACATGAAAGTCTCTAGTACAAACATCTGACAGCTATAGACAGATTAGATTAGATAGATAGATAGATAGATAGATAGATAGATAGATAGATAGATAGATAGATAGATAGATAGATAAATATGTGTGTATAGATTTATATATAAATTAATAAGAATTTAGTTGCTTATTAGAACAAAGATGCAAGAAGAAAACTGCAAGATATGCTGTTCTCTACCCTAAATTGCTGAGCAGAAAACTATTTTGTGGATGAAGGAGCAGGAGCCCCCGGCTAAGGAGAACCTCCTTATAACCTTGCATTTGTGTTTCACTTGTTGAAACCATCATAAAGACTTCTTTGTGGAAAATATATTTTGTAATAAATTATCAAAAGCCTCATTCAAGATCGTAATGGATACAGCTGAGTAAGGAATACTAAACATGGCCCCAAAGAGAAGAGAACCAAAAGTTATCAACTCAGCATATTTCAGTTGTCTTCAGGTCCTGAACTATTAATAAGAACAGCCAGGGAAAAAAGTTATGGACTACAAAGATCGTCGGTTTTATTCTTCAGTTTAATGAAGTATATCTAAGTCCCCTCCTCCTGTCAGCAATTCCCTCCTCCCTCCCACCCCAAACAAATCTCCCAAGAACTGAATACCGGAAACTTACCTTGGTGCATTAATATCAGACCAACTCCTTAAAACTATCATATATGTCTATGTATTAAACTCTTGAGTTATGATACCAACCTACTGGGATGTAGTTAATACTAAAAAATTACACCTCAGGCTCTATGACTCTACTTCACAGGTAAAACTGTAACTTCTCTTAATAATTTAAGGTGTGATCTCTAGAGCTCTTCATTACCTCAAGCAACAGGTGCTTACCTTACAGTTAGCTTACAAAATACTACGTCACCAAAAAAAGCACATATGCCCATCTCTACATGAAAAAATACATGAACTCACCTCACTATTCCTGATTAAGAGGGATGGAGAAACTATTTCTGCAGAGACTTATTTGTAGGTGTGCAGTGAGAAACTGCAACAGCGTCCAAAGGATCCTTCAAACACATAGGTTTTTAAAACATACACATCATAAGGCCCTGTTGACTCACTGAATAAGCAAGAATCCTGTTGGTTCATACATTCGGGAGCATTTTCACAGGCAGAAAAACATTTGCAAGCTTCTAAGAACTTCTAAGGCTGAAATGAGCTCTGAAAGCAGTAGTGATAGCAAAAGCTTACGTAACAGTGACAGTAAGGCTTCCAGCTCCTTTCACTAAGGAGGTCGCTAATGAAGTATCTCTCAGCATTTAGCAGGAGATGCACAGCCCACGTGCATATAGCTACTGGTGTTTTGCTGTTTCTGCCTACCATTTCCAGGTATGCCCGATCTCCAAAAAGTGACCACTTCTGCGGTTCTTTCTAACTCTGCAGCATGGGAATAGAACTACATGGTTAACCTCTGAAGTTAATGAAGACAGAGACCTACAGTATTTGCAAACACAAGATCTGTCTTTGTGTTCCAGCAGACAAGTGTCTTAGTTGGATGACTCGCTCAGTTAGCCTTTGGCACAGTAAGTGTGACCTGTGATTTAATTGCATCTGTACTGGGTTTCTTAAATCGGTAACACTGCCAATTTACTTAGAGCTCTTTAATGCAGGAAGGGCTAGTCTGGACAAATGGTACACAAAATTCTGGTGAATCCTGATCAAAACAGGAACCTTTCCCATTAGTGGGGAAGAGTGATTTGAACCAACAGACTCACGCCCTTACCAGGGTTGCCAGAACTACACATACTCAAAAATCACAAGCCAGAGGCTCAAGGTCAAATCAAGCCTGCAAGTATCTTTATATGGCTTATACGGAGCTTTCAAAGTTCTAAGCTACCAGTGTTTCAGCGGCAGGATATTTGGCATCAAAATCCACTCTTGGGTCACCTTGCACTACAAGAAAACCTACCACTCTGAGCCCACACCCTCACAGCCACAACAGGGGGCAGATCGAATGTAGGAGCACATGCTCTCGGATCTGCTGTAATCCCCACGGGCTCAGTTCCCTCACTGATTGCACTGCCAGGTTTTTCTGGGCATTTATGTTTGCCTCTCCTGGTTCAGACCCTAAAACTGTCTTTCATCCATGACTTCAAAACCCACAATCCAAACTAATTACTACTATGTTCAAACCCTCTGAGAAAGCAAAATAAGCCCAAAAAAGAATCTGAAAACAAACCATTTTCATGGTTCTATGTTGGTACTAGATGAACTAGTTCACTTTTTTTAAAGTGCCATTTTTGAAAATGATTGTTTCACCTCTTTCTGCACACTTTTGGTTTTGCATTATTCAAGTTTGTACCGTGACCGAGTCCCTTTCAAGTGGACAAAACCCTGGTGGTTAGAACATGCCAGAGTTACACGTTTAATGAAGGTGGCAGGGATTTCAGCTTTATTGCCCAACAGGCTAGCACTTGGCCCTCAATTCATCATGGCCACAAAACCTCAATTCATCATGGCCACAAAACGTGGAAACATTTTGAAAAAATGTTGGTTTGATGCTTTATTTGATTCTTCCTCTATTCTCCTACCATGAACATGGCATACATCGACAGAAGAGTTCTAAAAAGGGGCTTTAAGAAACCCCATAGCCCTTAAACAGATACTCAACCAACCACACGCCAACTGCCTCTTACCCGGGTATTGCTTACCCATTGCACTGAGATAGTGGTTGAAGGCCTGGCAAGGAGGACTTGGGGTTTGTGTTGATTTGTCACAACTCATGGGTGCCGGGCTCCTGTCTGTGTCAAAAGAGAAATACCCACTGGAGGACCGGGACAGCAGAGAGGATCTTCTCACAAAGATGAAAAGCGGGGATCTGGTAGCAAAAGGGCCAGGGCTGGCCGGTGGGGCCAGCGGGCCCTGAGGGCTGCCTTGGGGGCAGCGGTCCCCTCCACCTTCGGGATTACCTTGCGGCTCTGTCTGTAAAGGGATGAGGGCCCCAGGCCTGAGCTGAGGCGGCCTCTCTGCAGGCTGCAATTGTCCACCTTCTCTGTCACACTCAGAGCTTACATCGGAAGGTTGCTTGGCCATTTGGTCTTTTTTTCTGCAAATAAGATACAAACCAGATTATCTTAAGCAAAATAGTAATTATAGCGAATAACTCAATTAGCTAACGTTCACCTACTCGTGGAAAATGCTTGGAGTTCATACCAAATACTCTCTGGTCTGACAATCTTCCAAATCAGAACAAAATACACCTAAAATAACAAAGGTATCATTACCTTGGGGGGAGGGGCCTAAACTTCCTGCCACCAACAAAATACAGAAAACAACGTCAATTACTTGTGGAATTGCTGCACTCGCACACGTTTTGAGAGAAGCTACTTGTCTGGAATCTATTCGCAGGTGCTCTTTGCTCGAGGCTGACCTGAGTAAGTCAGAAACTCCCAGCGGGCGCTGACTCCCCGGGAGCCGACCCGACGCTGGAGCCCAGGAGCGGGCGCGGGCGCAGCGACTGCAGGCGGCTGGCCGCGCTCCCTGCTCCGGCCCCATTGTTCTGCCGAAAGTGCTGAGGGCAGCAAGTCTGGGGAAGGTTTGGCAAGGGCCGTCAGTCGTAGTAAGTGCGTCACAATAGAGTTTGTAACTCGGCGCGGCCGGGCTCGGCTCCGGCGCTGCCCGCGCGCGGTCTCCGGTTCCCGGCCCGCCAGCCCCTCCTCCTACGGGGGCCGCGCGCCGCACCCGACCGCACAGAACTTGTCCCAAGTGCACCCGCACTGTTCGGTGCACACCTCCAAATTGGGAGGAAGGGGGTACCCGACGCCGTCTCCTGCAAAGTCCACAAGTAACTCGGCACGTTACTTGTGGCGATCCCCAGGCGCGCGGCTCCTTCACCCACAGATCCTCCCCTCGGATGGCAATCAGGCCGAAACTCACGTCCTCCCCTTCCCTTCCAGGCGTCGCGTTCGGACCCGAGCCCTGCGGCGGCCGGCCCGCGCCCTCCGCCGACCCGTAGCCCCCGGACCGTCGCCACGAAGGCAGCGCAGGAGACAAAGCCCGGGACTCGCGTTCAGTGCCCCCGGGGCAGCGCTGAGCCTGCAACTGGCCGCCGGCCCGCTGCCGCGCTCCTCCAGGGAGCCGAGAACTCCGCGCGCCGCGCTTCTGGCCCGCGCAGCCCCGGCCGCAGCTGCCGCCGCCGGGAACATCCTCCGCCTCCTCCCGCTCCTCCCCTCGCGCACTGCGCCCTCCGCCGCCGGCACCGCCGACCTCCCCGCGCCGCTGGCGCCGGGTGCCCGCGCTCCCAATTGGCTCGCGCGCGATCGCTCCGCGCGACAGCCAATTGCCGGCGGCGGCGGGGGCGGCGCCTACGGGTCAGCCGCCAAAGGCGAGGCGATTGTTGACAAACTCGCCTCGGAACACCGCTCCGGCTGCGGCGGCAGCAGCGGCGGGAGCCTCCGAGACTTCGGCGGCCTCGGCGCTGCCCAGGCTGCCCCGCCCCGCACCGGTGCCCGCGCGCTTCAGCGGCTCCCGCCACCCCAAAGGGCTGGTCACCTGGAAACAAAGCAGGACCCGCTCCCGCCCCGCGCCTGCAGAGCTATCCCCAGACCCGTCCTGGCCGCTGGCCGCCGGCCTCCGCCCAGGCTTGTTGGTTTGAGGACCACAAGCTGCTCCCTCCACAGTTGCAGCACCCATCCTTCTTCAACTTTCTCCGTTTCTTCCTGTGCGCTGCGGACCCGCACCTAACCTAAGCGGCCACCCGCACGCATATCCGCGCGCTCCCGTGGCTGCCGCAGGCAACAAACGCTCCCCACACCCCAGCCCCCGCGTCCGGAGGGCCTCCCACTGCTCGATCCGACGCTGAGTAACAGGCCCCCGAGGGCACGGCAGTGCCAGCCAGCACTTCCAGTGGGTCGAGGTGCGCTCGGGCACGCCCGAGTCGTTAAGACAGCTCGGCCCCACGGACGGAGCAGATTCTGCTGTCCGAGGCTGGTCCACCGCGTGGCCCCGGCGGTCGGAGAAGGCACTCGGTGTCTTGCTGTCTACTGATCGTGAGGCTGGCCTCGCCCGCAGACCGGGCGGGGTCCCCAGACACGTCCGAGAGAGCGAACGCAGCAGCTGCCCCGAAACCTCGGCCTGAATGAGTAAAAGGAACCAAGTCTAGCCAGTTACATCGCCAACACAGTTCCGCAAATCCTCCGCTGCGGGCCCGCGCATCCGAGAAAAACCAATACGGAAACCCGCTTATACCGCGCGGCCGCTACTCGAGGGCCCCCGGGACCGGCGAGCGGCGAGACTTTCCGGCCCGACCGCGGAACGGGGCCCCAGTTCCTGGGATAACGCGGAGAGGACGCGAGCCTCTTCCAAGCCGACCCTAAGGCGCCTCGCCGCTCCCGGACACTAGATCGCGGCGCGAGCTGCACTTGGGCCAAGTGCCCGCAGCCTCGGCGCAAAACGACCCCTCCCCAAAGGGGACCTGCCGGGGGAAAGAACCCGACCTGCACTGATCACCGCCTCCTGCCGGGCGACTAGCGGGACGGATACGGCGTCTCTGACTGCACGTGCGCGGGAAGCGGGCAGAAGGTGGAGCCCTGCTGGTTCCGCGGCTGTCTTCATCTACCCGGCCCACTCCTCAGGATTCAGAGGTTTTTACCTTGCGTTTCTCAGTTCGAGAGTCAGAGTCAGACATTGGGGGGACGAGAGCCAGGGGAAGGGCGCCGAGGCGGTGGCGGCGGGAGAGAGGCAAACCGAGCAGCCCGAGGCGATGCTGGTCGCAGTGGGGCAGGGTGCTCAGGGTTGCTGCGAGAATCCCGTGGCGGTGGTGGCGGCGACGCGGCGCAGAGTGCTACTACAAGACGGGAACCTGAAGGCTGCGCGGAGCGAAGTGAAACCTGCGCGGCCCCGCAGCCCCGCTCGGCCTGGGGGCCCGCGCCCGCGCCCAATCACCGTGGGCTCCGCCCCCGCGAGGTCCCGCCCCGACAGGCGGGCAGGCAAGCTCCTCCCCCGCGGCGCCAGGGCTGCCGGCGCGTGCAGGCTCCGGCAGGTAGAGGCGGTGGTGCCTCGCCAGGTTACCCCTGTGCGCGCCGCCGGGCATGTTTACTGGAGTGAATGGGCTGTGGGCGGCTGGCGCACCCCTCCCCCCAACAATGTACTGTCGCCTCTTCTCTGTCCAGCCGCGGCCCCGTCGCGCGCGTGGAACACAGGGGGCGCTGCGGGCACACTGAGCCCGCCCGACCGCTACCGCCCGCGGAAAGCTTCGGGAGGCGCCCCTGACCCAGGATCGGCTACGGGACTTTCTCAGCCCCCTGGGGCAGGCGCGGGGGTGGGGCGGAGGGAGTCTGGGTTAATGAAAGGTTGAGCAGGGGGTCTCTGGCCTCTGCACCCTCCAAGAGTCCCTCTTGGGTCCCTGATCTGCAGGTTGCTCCTCTTCTCGCCCTAGCCTCACGCGGTACTCTTAGGTGCCCTGCTCAGGCCGCCCCGCTGGGGCACTTAGTTTTTCTCCCGCGCCAAACGGGAGCCCCTAAGAGGCGGAGCCCGTAGTGGGGAGGTCGAGAAAAAGGCCAGAAACGATCCTCGGAGACATCTTTTCGGCAGCCTGGGTGCGAGACAGGAATTGAGTGTACGATGAGCAGGTAAAAAAGGAAAATGAAAAAACCGGAAAAAAATCATTTTAAGAAAAAAAAAAGAAAGGACAGAGAAGAATCGTGGCCTCCAGGTGAGGGAGAAGGTGGTGCCTCTGCTAGGTTGGGATCCTTGATTTGTCGGGCGACGAGAACTATCCAGGAAATGCCCCCCTCGAAGCTGAGACTAGTGAACGCGGTGCATCCGAGTCGGGCCGCGCAGGCAGAGGGCTGTCTGGGAAGGGCAATACCCCCAACCGCTTCCCCGCGCACCCCAGACTCTCCGCCTTGGAGTCCGCTGCTCCACTGCCACTCATTCCCGAGCCATCAAACTCCGTCGCGGCCCCGGCCCTCTTCTGGGTCCGCACCCCCTTCTGCCCTCCCAGTGCGAGCTCTGAGGCCGCAACCCATCCCTGCGCTCCCCGGGCTTTGAGATGGCCGCGGCCGGGGAGTGGGGGCAACGACCGCCGGGAGAAGGGACATCTCGCCACGGAAGAGTCCAGGCTAGACGGATTAAAGAAACTCAGTTTAGAGGCCGCCCTAACCGCACCTCGGAAAGGAGAAGGGTCCCCGGTGCACAGAAGCAAGTCGGCGAGGCGCTGTCCTGCAGTCTGGCCACCCTGGTCAGTTTTCGCGCTTCGTAACAGATGTAGGACGTCAATGTGACAGCACAGCCCCAGGCTCAAGTCTTTTCAGAGCATCTTCCAGCTAGTGCCGAGTGGAGCGAAGGAGGCCAGGGGTTCCTGGAGGGGCTCGAGGACGCGCACCCGGCTCCGCCCGGAGATTTCGCTGCAGGAGGGAAGGGGCCTGGCCGTGGACGCGTCGAAGTGAAGGCAAAGCCGGAGGTCTACCCAGACAGCGGCTGGGCGCTCGCGACAGCGATTTTGGATGGCGGCCGCAGGCGAACTCTGCGCCTTAGCTGCCCGGCGTGGTACCCGAGGTGAACGACCGAACCTCCTGCGCCCTCTCGCAGCTACAAGCCCGCCGCGCGCCCGGTGCTCCGCAGGCAGGGACCGGAAAGAACCACGCAGAAGCAAGCCCTGGTGGCTGTCGTCTGCTCCGAAGCACCTCCGCCGCCCCCGCGTCCTCCGCTGTAGCGGACACTTTAAAAGACGAAGACGTCGGGGACCCCGGCCGGCCCAACGCTCTAATTTTGGGGCACAAACAAGGAGGTCGGCTCAGAGGCTACTGTTCCTGCAGTATTGTGCTGGGGACTCCGCCGAGCGCCCCGAGTCGGGTGACCGTGAGCTCCGCCCGCCCTCTCCCTCCGCGTTCGGAGGCCCTCCAGAAACTGGGCCCAAGCAACTCCTGCCTCCGCTGCGAGGTGTGCAGAGGGAGGAAAGGGGAATGGCTTGCCTTGAGAGAGGACCAAGAGCCAAGTCGTGCCGCGGAGATCTGAGAATAGGGAAATCCAAGACCCTTGTGGGGACCAACAGGCGTAGCTGCTGTGGTCTCCCCAAGTTCCGAAACCAACTTCTTACAGCTTATCGCCTGGACAGCCTCCCGTACCCTGCAAGCAGCGGGGGCGCTTTCTCATCGCTTAATTTATTAAACTTGGTACACTTTTCTAAAGAAGAGATTACAAATTTTTTTGCGATAAATGTTTTCTGTGCGTAGTCCTGCTGTCCGGAAGCCGCCTGCTGGGAGGACAAGCCAGGGTGCACGCTCTGCGGAGAGCAAGGCTCGCCCTCTCCTTTCCTCGCCCGTGCGCTTCCTCGCGGAGCCCAGGAGGATCTGCTTCACTGGAAAAGTATCGTTTGCTGAACGGAACGTTTGCCCGCGGGTGTGATTTTTTATGCTTTTTTTTTTTTCACCCAGCACCACAGTTTTTCAAAATCATTTGGAATCTGGGTCACCGCCGACAGCGGAGACCCCTCGCAACACCCAGGCATGGGGCGCGCCCGCAGCGGGGCCCACTCTGCCTTAAGGGGCCTGGAAGCCTACGCTACGAGAGGTCGTGCCAGGACAGGCGGGTTTACTGGAACAGGATAAAGGGAGCAGCCGCCTGGCTCCCTTCCCCAACAGGCTGTGGTTCGCTTCGCTGGCCTCGGCGGGGCACCGCTTGGCGACCCGAGCCCCCGAAGTCGCGCGGCTGAGCGCATATTGGCCGGGCCGGGGCCCTAGACCAGGCGGCAGAGCAGCGAGCGTCGTGACAGCTGCGCGCGGGCCACCACCCTTCCCGCCACGCCCGCTATAACTTGGCTCCCAGCTTGGGCCTCTGAGACCGCGTCCTTTCCCGCGCCAGGGGCTGCAGCGGTGCTGGGTAGAAGGCCCACGAGGCCTACGGGTTGGTAATTCCGGCGATCGGTGCATGGAGGCTGGTGTTAAAGGCGGAGGAGATCACCCTCAGCGCATCATTCTTCACCGAGTCGCACAAATCCAGCAACTGCAAAACACGACACAGCAGGCGCAGGTCAGATGCCGGCTCACTCAGCAGTCTGGCTGCCATGGCCTTAGGCCCTCCCGCAAGCACCCACACACCCCGTGTCTGCAGAAACTAGTTTCCCTTTGGATTTCCTAGGACCCAGGAAGGTAGAAGCCCTTGGTCATGAATAACCCTGCAAGCTTTTTTCATCTTAGAAATTCCTAATTTCGTGGCACCTAGCCGGACAAAAACCCGCTTTTTCCGTAAATGGGTGGGGATGGACTCCAAATTAGCTGGGAAGCTCCAGGTCTACATCTGAGAATTCATGGACATTCCTCTTCCTTCCACTCTCCTCCAGTCCCCTCCCTTTCCCTCCACTCCACCTCCGGAGTGCCTGGGGTGCCCCCCTCTGGCGCGCAGAGGCAACGAAACAGGAAGACCATCAGAACAGGTGAACCAGTGGAGACCTGCCCCAGTTTCTCCCTGAACCAGTGCCTTCCCATCCCTGGCAGCAGGCCAAGGTTCCTGAGACACTTACAAGGGGGCGCAGGGGGCACCAGGCATTGCCACTTGGCGCACCATCCTCCTGGCTGCTACGGAAAGCGGACCAGGAGTAAAAGTTAATGTGAACACCAAGGAACCAGGCAGATGCCCTCGGTGAACGGTGACAACCATTGGAGGACACAGATAAGCCATCCCAGCCTCAGGGAGGGGAAGATGCAGGCCAACCATGTTGGAGGAAAGAGTCACTAAAAATAGTTTTTCTAAACTCAACAACAGGGTAGATGGATGCTTTCCTTCCCCATAACCAGCTACACACTTTACTCCTCCACTTTTCCAGTTTTCAGCCAGTCACAAATTTCTTTCACTTACCAACTTACATTTGGCCCCCAGGTTTTCAGTATTTTATCTTCATAGTTTTAAAACCGTCCTTTAACACTGGCCCCACGTTTGCCCTCACAGTGGTGGTCCTAATGGAGCTGTACTAATGCTGTTCAGCCCACAGTTCCTTTGCTGCCTGCCACAGTGCCATTTCAGGAGTTCAGAGACATGAGAGGCGGTCCCCAAAATGAGAGTGGGGCGTAGGGGAAAAGCATGAATTTTCATAATCCAACAAACCAGGTGCCTTTGAAATGTGCTTTATCACATCAGTAATTTCTAATTAAAAACTTCATTCTTTACACACTGTGGTTAGGCAGACTCAAATCAGTACTGAAAAGACTTTGATCATATTCGCAAGATGTGCTATGATGAACTTTCACTGACCAAGATTTCGAAGTTTGTAATTAATACTCTTGACAAATCCCTGACTAATCTGTCAACTCTCAGCGTCTTTAACCACGCAGCTCAAAACCGTTACATGTATATGAGTCCTTAAGTCTGCCACATGTAGTAATATCATTATTCAAAATAATTCTTCTCTCGGGTTTTATTATGAAACCCAACCAATTTTTGTCACATATTCAACACTGGGGGAAATGGAATTATTCGAATGAGTATGGTGTGGAAGCCAGTATGGGTTTACTTTGTCTGCTGCCGAACACAGAATAAGGGCCTAGAGATAGAAATTACAGGAGGCAGATTTCTAGTCAACATTTTTACAATTTGACAAGAAAGATAGATTTAAAAAAGATAGGAATCCAATGGCCAGAGAAGAGGGTTTCCTTACTTGTAACTGTTCATAAGTGACCTCTCCAAGGACACTGTAAAGACGAATGCTGTATTGACAGAGAAGGCCATTTGTTGACTGCTAAGATTCTTTCTAAACCTAAATTTCCGGGTCTGCCTCAAATCCTCTGTGTCCCTTTCTCCATTTGTCACAGACTGCAACAGGAAACACAAAACAATTAGTGTCTAGATCCAAGGCTCAGGCGTCCTTCCTAATATGATGACTTAGACTCTGGCTGCCTCCCCGGCCCCTGCCTGTGAGGATGATCACTGGCGGATGTTTGTGGAGTCATCCCCTACATCAAAGACCATGCTGGGCACTGCATGCCGCAGACACAGGCCTCCTACATCATGGAGCTGGGAGGTCTAAAGACTCCTTACAGATATGATATCCTTAATACAAAAGAAACTTAGGTGGCTAATCTAGCATGTATCATACAGTTACAGTGTCTCTTGTTACCAGGGGCCCTAAAGGACTAAGCAAATTACTATTAAACTTATGTTTTATTACCAAACATATGCCTCCAAGTATTAAAATGGCCCATTTTGTAGTGGCCCCCATCTTGCCGCTATGTGACCCAACTGTGCTAAGCAAAGCACTCCAAGCCTACCCATTTCTTTACAAAGAAAATTCACCAGCTTTTGAAAACACACCAATGAAGGGATGCCTTTTAAAAATAAGAGAGCATAGACAAGTTGTAAATTCTTGCAGAAATTTTTTGAAAGGACAGACCCAAAGCATGGGGGGTATTGCTCTAAAAGCAGTAAGAACATGAGATCTGGAGCTATCCAGTGAGGGAGGTTTGAGAATATCTACTTTAAAGACATCAGCCCTTGAAGGACAGTGTGTAGATATGTTAATATGTGGATTTTCAGGGGGAAATTTATAACATCAGTTTGTCTTCCCACCCCCCACTTAGTTTTCAGTGGGTTCTCCCTTTTCCTCTTCTATTTGACTCTCCCTGCATTTTCCTTAGTCCAGTTGGGAGACTAAGATAACCTACGATTGGCAGTGACTAAACTGTACAGCCTTCTACACAAACCCTATTTTCCACATGTTGGTGTTAATTCCATTGGTCAAGGTACCCAGTACACATGCAGGAACACCTCACCTGAGACTCTGGGCAAAAGGTTTTCCTGCCTCTTTGGTGTCCCCCACCTCTGCCCAGCACCAGGTGACTTACTGCTGTTCTGTCAGGTCCCTTACCCTAGTCTGAAAAGTCCCTCAACTAGCCACTTCCTGGTTTGGGCACTGGGAGTCTTCTTCTCCATCCTTTGACTCAGCACTGACTTGTGACATGCCTTGACCAAAAAGAATGTGGAGAAAGTGATTCTTCCAGAGCTCAGGCCTTCAGAGACCTTGCAGTGCCCCCTCTCCCTCCTGAGACCACTGGCCATGCAGAAGCCCCACTGAGCCTGCTGGAGGATGCCAAAGACCAGGGGGAGAAGGACCAAGGGACCTCAGCCAACAGATAGGCTCACTGCCAGATGTGCGGGTGACCCCTTAGGCCTTATGAACTCCAGGGACTGTAACCACAGGACTGATCCTACCTAAGACTAGCCAGAGAGCTGCCCAGGCAGCCTACCCACAAAACTGCCAGAAATAAGCAATTGGTTTCTTAAGCCACTAAGTTTTAGGATGGTATGTTATATGGCAGGAGGTAACTAAAACAGATAGCTCCCTTTAAAAACCTATGATTGCCATGTACTGGGGTCATCTTCAGCCACACTTCTTCCCTCTTAACTTAGTTATCTGAAGACAATTCTGTAATTATACAATTAGAACAGTTAACAGTGAGGTATACCTGACTGATAGGCTTAACTGAAAAAGAATTTCAGTCCTAAAAATGTAGTTTATAAAACTCAATGATTGTCCAGTTGGTGGGGTATCTGGGAGAGATTGGAATGGTGGGCTGGAAGGTCCCACTGCAGATCGCCCCCCAACCCCACCACCACTTCCTTGATCCAGCTGAGAAGGCAAATCACCAGGACTTGCCTTACAACCATCCACCATGTCTTTGTCACCTCTATGAGGGGATTTAATTTCCCACAAAAATATTCAGTATAATCAAAGTGTCACAGATGAAGGAAGAAGGCAAAAAATACTTACAACAAGGGATCCCAGTCTTGTAAAGGCTTAGGTTCTTTTGCACTGTAGAAGAGTGAAACAAATGGGGCCTGATCAGAGGTAGCTGATGTCACATTTATGACTTTGCTTCATAGAGACTGCAGTATCTCCCTACTCCCAGAGATCTCTTACACAAGGATGGCCAATGGGTTCATCTCCAAGGCCTGGAGTCTGCCTACTATAGAGGGCAGATGAGACATCTGGCCTCAGAAGTGGCTGGATGGGGGCGTGAGCCCGTTGTATGAAGTTCACATGCTACATGAAGGTCACACGCTATGTGAAGGTCACACATTATGCTTGCCCCCTTATTCAGACTTTCACCAAGTTCTTTAGTTTCTTGCCTCACAAGATCACCTTCCTTGAGTATTGCTTTGATCTGATTATTCTTCTTCCCCAAAGGCTGGGAACTTCCACTTGCTTCTCAGATTAAAATAAAATTATTGGTTACGAACTTGGGTCCTTCGGTGGCAATTGACTTATTGAGTTCCCACACTTCGTTTCTTCATCCACAACTCAAGCACAGTTTGCATTTTTCTACCTGGGCCAAGGAAATTTACCTTGCCTTCCACCTGATGGTCTTCACTGTGTCTACTGAATTGCCACATTTACCATCCTCCCTTGTTTGGCACACTGTAACTTAATTAGGTCTCTTTCCAGCTTCCTGTTCTTGGTTACAGGTTTATTGCCTAGAACAGCCATCCCGAAATAGTCACTGTGTTAGCTGACAGAACATCAACAGGTCGTTTAACTTGATGGAACCTCAGTTTCTTCATCTGTAGAAAGGGATGGTATCTCTCTCTTTGGGTTTTGTAAGGATTAAATTAAATAATTCATATGTAATAACAATATGTTTACAACTCAGCATTACTGACTCTGTCACAGATAATAGATACTAGATATTAGTATAGATAATAGATATTAATTCTATCCCATTTGTTTTCCTGTCACTTTTATTGTCCCTGAACATCTAGCTCTTACCTGTATATCTATATGACTGTAGTGTGTGTGTGCACATCTATTTTCAGTTTGAAAGTTTCCATCTGTCTCTTCCTTATAGTTTCAATTTCTTTGCTGAGACTTCTATTTTTCATTTGTTTCCAGTGTGTTCCTAATTGTTCACAGAGCATTTTTTTGATGGCTACCTTAAAGCTGTCAGATAATTCTAACATCTCTATCATCTCAATGTCAGTATCTATTAATTGTCATTTTTTCTTCCAGTTTAAGA